AAACTTATATCATAAAAATGCTAAGAAGTCGAAGTATATTGCGAAATTAAAACGGGTACAAATACAGCGAAGTTTACTCAAACAGACCTTGCCGTCCTTTCTTTGTTTAGTAAACCCTTTGTTTCAAGCACAGTGTCGACGTAAGCTTTAACACGAGTTTCGTTCTTATGAACACGATTCGCAATCAAATCTAATGAGGCTTATAACATAGGAAAGGTTAGATCTTGAAGTTTATTTATCTTTTAGATTTTATGATGCGAAATAAAGAGTGCGTGCAAACACGGCTAAATTTGACGGAAAGCGACTTGGCTTCCTCTAGGAGGCCCTGAAGGGCAAATGGATCAAACTTAGAATTAATTAGAAAAATAAGTAGTCAGCTAATGTGACGTAGTTTTAAAAAATTACGCGTGGCCAATTTCTTAAACCCATCTTCGCCATACCGTATTCTCGCTTGCAGAGCACAGGAAATATAAATGAGCAAGAATTCAGAATTATGCAACCGCAAGGTTATTTTACTTTAATTAATATGATTCTGTGAATAAAGGAGAGCAATTGAAACTATTTTATGTTGTGCACAAAACACATTCAAGGAAAATATTTACATTTAAGATAAGAAGTAAAAAATGGATATTTAAAATGTATTTGTGACAATAGTTTTGACTATTTTTTCCTTTGTTTAGTGGCAAATCTTTTTTCACTAGGGACCCGTTCTTCGAGTTGCTCCGCTCTTTGATAATCCAAGCTAAGTTTGGCAAAAAAGCATAGGCCTAATGGGAAAATTTGAATTGCTGCGAGGGTGAATAATTGACAGAGTACACTTAATCCCACTTTTTAAAGAGCTTACTCCACATTAATCATTTATCATGTTATATCTAAAAAAATAAATGCTAAATTAACCGTGATCGAATATCTCTGCGAGAGTAAAGAGATTTACCTTTTTTGCTAAGAAAAAAATTCTTGTCTTCCCTTAAAGACATTGACCTCTGATGTAGAAAATGTATCTTTTTTAAGCTAACATTAGGGAAAAAAAGGCAAAAACAGATAAAACAAGGAAAAGAAGAAAATGATCGCCCACATTTGGCTCTTACTGTAAGTGTACTTCTTTTATGAAATGTCTTTTAGTTTAATGACTTAGGATATTACGTGGGAGTAGAAATTCTTCACCAATTCTCACCATGCTAAAGTCTAGTTATGGCACACATCATTCAAGGAATTAAAACGAAAAAAAGAAACAGTGTGTTGGCGCAAAATATGTTATATGAGGTGACACTTTTATACCTAAGGAGGGACATGTTTTTTTATAATGTAAACATGTTGTTCATGGGAAAGAGATGCGCTATTTTGATAATTGCAGTTCTGTAATATCGCCTCAACGGGGGTTACTTCATAATTTAGTTCCAGAAGGTGATTTAAAATATATTTACCGTTTATCCTCTGAAAAGCAAACATTTCCAACCGTTATCTATCTGGTAATAAAAAACATCGGGGTTGGGTCGTTAGCAAGATTTCAATTGACTGAAGCTGTAGCAGTAGTAACTTCAATTTCTACACCTGACGATCCTGCTAAGCAGAGCT